CCTCGCGGATGTGTATTACTTGATCTTTTGTGAGAAATTACAGGGATACAAGCGTTGGATTCATTTCTGAGGGCCAGTATATTTCTCTGTGTGCTAGGGTTTGGGTTTGTGTATCTGGACCGAAAGGAGAAGGTTCAGAAGAAAGCCCCCCCTCCGTTAGGTAACAGTTCTTTATTTATACAATGATTCTCTTAGGGTTTTTCGCTGCTACTCCTCTTTTGGGTGCTAATCGTGTGGGTCCTCTCCTTTGTGCCCTCTAGTTTTCTCTGTCATTTGGCGCCACTGTTCATTCGACGTTACTGTTACTATGATCTCTGGTTGTTATGCGTTCCAATTTTTCTTTGCTTTGCGACTGTCACAGGTGTCAGGGGTGGTCCCTGAGTTTTTGGGTTACATGGTGCAACGAGAATGAATCAAGGAGAGCATTTGGGGCAGATTTTTATTTTGGGGCTGCACATCGAATGGGCCGAATTGAAGTTGTGTATCTAGTGAGCCCTCTGCTAATGTTGGGCTTTCCCCCTTGGGTTCGGCCCTCTAGGCCAAAAATATGGCTTAACTGTGGGTCTCATATTCAGATCATTTCGTAGTGGACTCAGGAAAGCCCATGGCTCAGATTTCGTACTCATCATTTATTATCTTAAAAATGAAATGGTTAAACATTTTGATGAAAAATAAAATATACACATATAATCATAATATTATCTTTATAAATGAGATGAGTAATATTATATTGATAGAGTTTTTGAAGGTTTTTTTTGAATATTTTGTTAAAACTTATAATAATGCACATATTTTTTTAAGAATAATTTAATCAAACAAAAAGTTTCATAAAAATTGACATTTATAAATAAAGAATAGATAATTAAAAAATTAATTTGATTAATATTCCACTTATAAACCATTGAATAAAATAAAAATATTTATCAATATACCATTTATATTAGAACCTTACTATATTTAGGATTATCTAGCCAATTGGGATAAAATTTAATATATAATGCTATAATATATATTATAAAGTATATTAAAATTTAAAAAAAAAAAAAAGTTTTCACATATAATCTTAACATGGTTTCAAAAGTTTATTGTGACTAAAAAATATGTAAAATTTATTTTTTATCTTAAAAATGAAAGGGTTAAATATTTTGATGAAAAATAAAATATACATATGTAGTCGTAATATTATTTTTATAAATGTGGTGAATAATATTATATTGATCATTGAGTCTTTGATTTAATGATACTTCTTATCTTGTGAAAGTTTTGCCTTTTTAAAGTCAAGGGTTTAAGCTCGCTTTTCCCCTCCCCCTCTCCCTACCAAAACCAAAAAAGTAATATTATATTGATGAAATTTTTGAAGGTTTTTTGAATATTTTGTTAAAACTTATAGTGATGCGTATATTTTTTAACAGTAATATAATCAATCAAAAAGTTTCATAAAAGTTGATATTTTTACATAAGAAATATATAATTAAAAGTGATCTTAGATGTCATTTGGAGATTTAAATGCATAAGCATATAATTGTAATTTAGAAATGAAGTGTGAAATGATAGAGTGACCTTTTTAATTCTTTGTGAAGATAAAATAGTGAATCAAAAATTTTTCATATTAAGGTACTCTTATTAGTAGCATAAATAAATATAAATATAAATAAATCCACCACACATGGATCATTCATCAAGTAACATTTTACGTGAGTCATATCCTAACAAAAAAAATATTTTATTCTACAATAAAACCAGATTATTCCTATCTTATACCAACTCAATTCAATTATCACTCAATTTTAAATTCGTATCATGTTATGTTCCTATCATGTTAAGCGTATTATGTCAAAAAGTTATCATCCTAATCAGACCCAAAAAAAAACAAATCCAAGTGATCAATGTGAAATTAAAAAAAAAAAAAAAAAAGAAAGCCAAGTGATAAAGACGTAAAACAATCAAGATAAATTAAAGTTTGAGGGTGGAAGTCTTGTGCCCTAGGCGCCAAGACAGCTCTAATTCAATAAAACAGACCCATTAGTCGAAAAGCAGCCGTGTTTATTGATCTATATTTTTTTTTTTTGGGGTTTAACGTTAGAAAGTTGTTCAGGCTAATTTTGCGCACCTTGACTAATTCTTATTCCGATCCGATAAAAATAGATCATCTACGTTATAACTGAGGCATTTATTAAAGATAAAACTCTCATAACCTAATCCCAAAAAAATTTCGAACTAACTATGTCTATTGTGATTATTAAAACAATAAACTAAATTAAAATAGAATTGATTAACTTGCTAACTCGGAAAAAATGGGTGTCCCCTCAACAACCTGTAAATTTTGCATGGTGCAACACTTGCGAAGACTTGGATTTCTAGAAACTTTTAATTGACTATGTTACCCTTAAAAATAAGCATTAATTAGAATATTAATAATTATTTTTATTTTATTCAATGAGTTATAAATTGAAACATAATTAAATAAATTTCAAAATGAATTATTTTTATCTTTTTTTCTTATAATTAGAACAATTAATCATTAGAGACAGACAATATTTTCTAAATTCTATAATATAATACGAACGATAAAAACATAATTTTTATAAATTAGAGATGATATTTAATTTAGATACACATATAACTAAAATTTTTTATTAAATTTCATATACGAAAAGTATTAACGTGCAACGTACATGATGCATTGCTAGTTCAACAAAATAGACCCATTACTCGAAAGGGAGCCGTGTTTCTTGTACTAATTTGTTAACTTAATTTATTGATATAATTAATCATTGATATTGAATTAACAATTGGACTCAATATTAATGCTATCAATTTAATAGTTGTGATCATTTTTTTTAGTTCAACGGTCAGGAGTATTTGAACCAATTTACGTGCAATTCGATTAATTTTCTCTCTAATCCAGTCAAAGGCAAACCATTCATGGGAAATAAACCACACATAGGCTGATCCCAAAAAATTGTGAAGATTCGAACTTATTATGTTTATTATGATCATTAAATTAATAAACTAGATTAAAATAGTATTGATTAACATACTAACTTGGAAAAAAGGGGGGACCCCTCACCAACTTCAAAATTTTTCCTGGTGCAAGACTTGCGAAGACTTGGATTTCTGGATTGATTCATCCAAAAATCCAAGTCTTGCACCGCATGAAGGCAAGAAAAAAAGGGCGTAAGAAAACCGTTGCTTGTGGAATAATATTATATTCAAAACTGGGGTCCTTTAATTAATGCTATTACAGCAATTTCCACCTTTCCAAATCACTGGGTCGGTGGAGAATAGGAAAATTTTGATGGAACAATCAGGATTTCAGATCCCCTCCATTATCTATTTTTTTTTAATTTTTCAAAATACAGTACTAGATGAGTGAAATGTGTAAAATTTTAATGGGTAAAATTTTTTTCTTGTGAGAAATTTTTTTAATAATGGTTAACACTCCACCAACAACAAAAATGAATGAGGAAATATCTTATCCATTAAAATTCAAAATCTTACACGTGTGTCACTCATCTAAGACTGTATTGAGAGAAATTGAAAAAAAGAGATAATTGAGGGGATCTAAATCTGAACAATCAAACGGGTCAAAGATATCTCCGTCTTGGGTAAATGTTNGATTTTTATTTTGGGGCTGCACATCGAATGGGCCGAATTGAAGTTGTGTATCTAGTGAGCCCTCTGCTAATGTTGGGCTTTCCCCCTTGGGTTCGGCCCTCTAGGCCAAAAATATGGCTTAACTGTGGGTCTCATATTCAGATCATTTCGTAGTGGACTCAGGAAAGCCCATGGCTCAGATTTCGTACTCATCATTTATTATCTTAAAAATGAAATGGTTAAACATTTTGATGAAAAATAAAATATACACATATAATCATAATATTATCTTTATAAATGAGATGAGTAATATTATATTGATAGAGTTTTTGAAGGTTTTTTTTGAATATTTTGTTAAAACTTATAATAATGCACATATTTTTTTAAGAATAATTTAATCAAACAAAAAGTTTCATAAAAATTGACATTTATAAATAAAGAATAGATAATTAAAAAATTAATTTGATTAATATTCCACTTATAAACCATTGAATAAAATAAAAATATTTATCAATATACCATTTATATTAGAACCTTACTATATTTAGGATTATCTAGCCAATTGGGATAAAATTTAATATATAATGCTATAATATATATTATAAAGTATATTAAAATTTAAAAAAAAAAAAAAGTTTTCACATATAATCTTAACATGGTTTCAAAAGTTTATTGTGACTAAAAAATATGTAAAATTTATTTTTTATCTTAAAAATGAAAGGGTTAAATATTTTGATGAAAAATAAAATATACATATGTAGTCGTAATATTATTTTTATAAATGTGGTGAATAATATTATATTGATCATTGAGTCTTTGATTTAATGATACTTCTTATCTTGTGAAAGTTTTGCCTTTTTAAAGTCAAGGGTTTAAGCTCGCTTTTCCCCTCCCCCTCTCCCTACCAAAACCAAAAAAGTAATATTATATTGATGAAATTTTTGAAGGTTTTTTGAATATTTTGTTAAAACTTATAGTGATGCGTATATTTTTTAACAGTAATATAATCAATCAAAAAGTTTCATAAAAGTTGATATTTTTACATAAGAAATATATAATTAAAAGTGATCTTAGATGTCATTTGGAGATTTAAATGCATAAGCATATAATTGTAATTTAGAAATGAAGTGTGAAATGATAGAGTGACCTTTTTAATTCTTTGTGAAGATAAAATAGTGAATCAAAAATTTTTCATATTAAGGTACTCTTATTAGTAGCATAAATAAATATAAATATAAATAAATCCACCACACATGGATCATTCATCAAGTAACATTTTACGTGAGTCATATCCTAACAAAAAAAATATTTTATTCTACAATAAAACCAGATTATTCCTATCTTATACCAACTCAATTCAATTATCACTCAATTTTAAATTCGTATCATGTTATGTTCCTATCATGTTAAGCGTATTATGTCAAAAAGTTATCATCCTAATCAGACCCAAAAAAAAACAAATCCAAGTGATCAATGTGAAATTAAAAAAAAAAAAAAAAANAACTTACATTGTCCATTTGAAGAAGCCCGATGACCGAGTTTTCACTCAATCAGATGATTTAGAAAGCTGGTATCAATCATTTTTGCCGGTAAACACCGCAAATTCGAATGAAGCACCGCGCATAATATATGCATACCGCAATGTGGTTACTGGTTTTGCTGCCAAATTGTCTGCTGCGGATGTCAAAGCCATGGAAAAGAAGGATGGCTTTGTGACTGCCAGGCCTCAGAAAGTATTGTCTTTACATACAACTCACAGTCCTAAATTCTTGGGATTGCAACAAAATCTAGGTTTTTGGAGTGGCTCAAATTATGGTAAAGGTGTGATTATTGGAGTTATAGACTCTGGAGTTTTGCCGAACCACCCTTCGTTTGGCGACGAAGGAATGCCACCTCCACCTGCTAAATGGAAAGGGAAATGTGAACTCAATAGCACTTATGCTTGTAATAACAAGCTCATCGGTGTAAGGAGTTTTATCAGCGATTCAGATGAGACACAGGTGGACGAAGATGGCCATGGCACTCACACAGCAAGCACTGCCGCTGGAAACTTTGTGAAAGGGGCCAATGTGTTTGGCAATGCCAATGGCACCGCAGTTGGCGTAGCACCGCTTGCTCACTTGGCCATTTACAAAGTATGTTCGTTTGACTGTTCTGATAGTGACATATTAGCTGGAATGGACGCTGCTATTGAGGATGGTGTTGATGTGCTTTCCATCTCCCTTGGTGGATTTTCCAATCCTTTCTCCGGAGACAGTGTTATCGTTGGTGCATTTACTGCAATGCAAAAAGGCATTTTTGTGAGTTGCTCGGCTGGTAACTCTGGTCCGTTCAATTTCTCATTATCGAATGAGGCCCCGTGGGTTCTCACCGTTGGTGCAAGCACTATTGATCGAAGCNACAAAAAGAAAACTATACTTTCAAATTGATAAAGACTACAATACTGGAATCTGCATTGAGTTACTTAATGAAGGAGACAATTGCTTGGAGTTACGATTTTCAGTTAGAGTATCAAGTTAGTTTACTTTCTGTTAGAATAAATCCTAGTTTCTAGTGGCGTTGATTTAGTTTTTGACTTATTCCTTGCTACATGTATCACGTAGCTTAGATCATGNCCGCATTGCTAGGAAACGCTGAAGAATTCGATCGCGAGTCAGTCTTCCAGCCTAAAGATTTCCCTTCGACGTTGTTGCCTCTTGTTTACCCGCAGTCAAACGGAAGTGAAGACTATGCTCCATTCTGTGCCACGGGATCATTGAACAACACCGACGTCAAAGGGAAGGTGGTGTTGTGTGATGCCGNAGTGCAACTTATTGTAAGGCTATTAAAGCCAGATCAATGTTTTCAATAAAGCAGTCAGTCCTTCAGTTTGTATTGTGTTCTTGATCTTCTACTTATATTGTTGATCAACTACTCCTAATTAACTGGTATCAGANCCGGTGGTCCGGTAACAAGAGAAGGCAAAGGACAAACAGTAAAGGATGCTGGTGGAGCTGCCATGATTTTGGTGAACCAAGACTACAGGGCCTACACTACCTTCGCTGATGTTCACGTCCTTCCGGCAACACATGTGAGTTATNGAGCCCTCACTGGGCCTGAGACGAAAACAAGCTGCAGCTTTGAGTGACTTACAAACACAGTGCGAGAGAGAGATGACAAGCGAAGGAAATTTTGTCTAACTTGCAATACCACGCTTTGATGGTCACTATGACCATTGAAGCATGCTTATGGAGTGTGTGTGCTCGATCTTGCACAATATAAATNGATAATGGCTACAATCTTATTCAGAGGAACCATAATTGGGGAAAATCATGCTCCTATGGTTGCCNGCGTGCTCGATCTTGCACAATATAAATACAATGACAGATCTCTTCCGTGGTGAACATGAGTCTGTCGATCCAGTGGACAATCTTGCTATTTGGGACAGGTTATGAGGGCCGAAGGTGGCTTACAAGATGGTGACAAATAGTTTTTGGGGGTCGCTCGACTAATCCCAGGAAGTTAAGGAAGATTCTTGAAACAGAGAAAAAACAAGTTAGAAGGGCGCTGGAGTATTTTTTGACGTATCCCCTTTGACAATCAAGTCAGCTCTTTGAGAGAGGGGAAGAAGAAAACATTGTGTATGTTTCAGAAAAGATTTTTNGTGTGCTCGATCTTGCACAATATAAATACAATGACAGATCTCTTCCGTGGTGAACATGAATCTGTCGATCCAGTGGACAATCTTGCTATTTGGGACAGAGGGCCGAAGATGGCTTACAAGATGGTGACAAATACTTTTTGGGGGTCGCTTGACTAATCCCAGGAAGTTAAGGAAGATTCTTGAAACAGAGAAAAAACAAGTTAGAAGGACGCCGGAGTATTTTTTGACGTATCCCCTTTGACAATCAAGTTAGCTCTTTGAGAGAGGGGAAGAAGAAAACATTGTGTATGTTTCAGAAAAGATTTTTNAAACTGATACAAAATCGACATTTAACATAGTCTCAGGTACCTCAATGTCATGTCCTCATCTCAGTGGCGTCGCAGCTTTGCTCAAAGCTGCACACCCTAATTGGTCTCCGGCCGCCATCAAGTCTGCTATCATGACTACTGCTGATCAACTGAACCTCAACAACAAGCCCATCATCGATGAAAGGCTACTCCCAGCTGATATCTTTGCCATTGGGGCAGGCCATGTCAACCCATCAAAAGCAAATGATCCCGGACTTGTGTACGATATCCAGTCTGACGATTACATATCTTACTTATGCGGTTTGAATTACACAAGCCGACAACTTCTANTCATGATTGCTGTCAGTGTAGCCAGTAAATGATCATTAGAGGTGGGTAACGTCCACACTGATTTTTAGGAGAAATGACTTCTTCCTTAACTGCTCGGGACTCCGAGCAACCAATGCTTCGCCCTCGGCCTGCCGAGCGTTTGATGACCTTCACTCGGCAGGGACGTATTAATTGCTCAGTCACGTGAACATGCATTACCTTTCACTTCCAGNTTATGATTGCTGTCAGTATAGCCAGTAAATGATCATTAGAGGTGGGTAACGTCCACACTGATTTTTAGGAGAAATGACCTCTTCCTTAACTGCTCAGGACTCCGAGCAACCAATGCTTCGCCCTCGGCCTGCCGAGCGTTTGATGACCTTCACTCGGCAGGGACGTATTAATTGCTCAGTCNCAAATGTTGGTGAAGCCAGTTCATCGTACACTGTCGAGATTGTTCCACCACAAGGAGTCGATGTTAGTGTTAAGCCTACTACGTTAGACTTCTCAGATGTGAACCAACAGATGACTTATCAAGTCACATTTAGCAGATCAAGCGGAGGCATGAATGCTATCTCTGCACAAGGATTCCTGAAATGGATTTCTACCAAACATGTAGTTAGAAGCCCAATCGCTGTTGCGTTTGAGTGAGGAAGAGGTGTTGCAGATCATATACACTTCAGACATATCAACTATATGTTTCAATTTGCTTGTTTGAACCGTTTGGGTTTTATGAAATTGTGCGTGCAAGATCCTGCACAATATAAAAAACGGGAACAGATCTCTCCCCTNCACTCGGCAGGGACGTATTAATTGCTCAGTCACGTGAACATGCATTACCTTTCACTTCCAGGTCCTCACGCATTAAATGCTGTCTCATCAAGGATAAGGCGCATTAAATACTTGTTTTCCCATTTTGGTCTTTTCGTCTCTGATTTGACATGATACGCCACGTGCCCATTCCCCTTTGGTTGAGCCTTCCGCCTTCTTGTGGCTGCTGACACCATCTAGGTGAGACCAGGTCATGATGGCTAATCTAGCCTAGCCCAGGCTGATGACCTGTCCATCAATAGCCCTGCAAGAACAGAAGTGCCGATGTAGTGGGTACACTTCGGTGCCGAGGGATTAGTACGGTTAAGATNGTTGTCTCATCAAGGGTAAGGCGCATTAAATACTTGTTTTCCCATTTTGGTCTTTTCGTCTCTGATTTGACACGATACGCCACGTGCCCATTCCCCTTTGGTTGAGCCTTCCGCCTTCTTGTGCCTGCTGACACCATCTAGGTGAGACCAGGTCATGATGGCTAATCTAGCCTAGCTCAGGCTGATGACCTGTCCATCAATAGCCCTGCAAGAATAGAAGTGCCGATGTAGTGGGTACACTTCGGTGCCGAGGGATTAGTACGGTTAAGATCGATGCCCCCCCATTCGACCGAGGGATATGCGTCGGTCCACGGTACACTAAGCATCATAGATCCTTAAGAATAGTACCCTCTGGGGAAGAGGGATTATGATCCGACGAGCACGTGTCATGACCACGGCAGAGAGTACCTATTGACACCGTGTACACGTGTCGTCATCTTGGAGTATCTGAAAAAGTCCCATCATGGAGAATTTCCTGAGAAACAAAGAGTATTGGAGCCTAGTAGAGACAGGCTACACAGAACAAGAGGTTGGTGCAGCTGTGACAGAGGCACAGTAAAAGAAGCTTGAGGAGCTGAAGCTGAAGGACCTAAAGGTGAAGAATTATCTTTTCCAAGCAATCGACAGAACCATTCTGAACACTATATTGGAAAAGGACACCTCAAAGAAGATCTGGGACTCGATGAAGAAGAAATACGAAGGCAATGCTAGAGTGAAGGACTCGATTCTTCAAGCACTGAGGAGGGATTTTGAAACTCTAGAGATGAAGGTGATTGAGAGCATTACTGATTATTTTGCTCGAGTTATGTCAGTTGCTAACAAAATGCGGGTGTACGAAGAGCAAATGAGAGATGTCACAATTGTGGAAAAGATTCTTAGATCATTGACTGACAAATTTAACTATATAGTTTGCTCGATCGAGGAATCTAAGGATGTTGATGCACTCACCATTGATGAACTGCAAAGTTCACTCATTGTGCATGAGCAAAAATTCCACAGGAGCAATGGAGAAGAACAAGCTCAAAAGGTGGCTGTTGATGAAAGAAATGGTAGAAAAGGGCGTGGCAGATGCAATTATAGAGGAAGAGAGCGTCAAGCCTTTAATAAAGCCACAGTTGAGTGTCATAAGTGCCACAAACTTGGTCATTTTCAGTATGAGTGTCCAAACTGGGACAAAGAGACAAACTATGCAGAATTAGATGAGTATGAAGGGATGTTGTTAATGTCTTACATGGAGATGCATGAAGCCAAGCGAGAGGATGCATGGTTTTTGGACTTGGGGTGCTCAAATCACATGTGTGGAGATACGAGCATGTTCAGTGACCTGGATGAAAGTTTTACACAAAAAGTGAGGCTTGAAAACAACACCAAAATGACAATGCTTGGTAGAGGAAATGCCAGACTAAACTTGAATAGTTTAGTCCATGTCATTACAGAAGTCTTCTACATTTCGGAATTGAAGAACAACCTCCTATGTGTGGGGAAATTATAGGAAAAAGGGGCTTGTAATCCTACTCCATGCAGGAATGTGCAAGATCTACCATCTAGACAAGGGTTTGATCATTCAAACCTTAAAATGACACCTCATAGAATGTCCATTCTATTGGCCAACGTGCAAGAAAAGAAAGCTGCCAGTTTCCACACAAGCTCACAAGACCTCTCCCATTTATGGCACTGCCAATATGGCTATTTGAGCCACAAAGATTTGAATACTTTGCAAACGAAGAACATGGTAAGTGGTCTGCCTCATCTCCATATCAGCGCAATAATTTGCACCAATTGCTTAATTGGCAAGCAACATTGAGATCCCATCCCCAAAAAGAGTACATGGAGGGCTACAAAGAAGTTACAACTCTTTCATACCACATCAAACAACAAGAAGAGGTATTTCTTATGCTTTATTGATAATCCTTATTGAGAAAGAGACTATCATGTATATCAAGTGCTTATGCACTGATAAAGGAGGGGAATTCAATTCAGAGGAGTTCAAGAGTTTTGCAAGAGGAGTGGCATCAAGAGTCAGATGACAAGGACATACACTCCACAACAAAATGGAGTGGCTGAGAGAAAAAAACAGAACAGTGATGAACATGATTCATTCTATACTTTCAGAAAAGAAGATTCCTAAAATCTTCTAGCCTAAGGCAGTGAATTGGACCATNGTCGGGACGCCGACGGTACAATATGCTCCTTTCGGGAAGGATGCAATAAATGCTCTGTAATAGGAGCATTTATTGCCTTTCATATCCGAACCTTACCGCATTGAATGCGGTCTCGTCAACAGAAGGGTGCAATTAATTGTTTGCTTTCCAAAGCGCGTGTCAGCAACAGCATGCGGTTTGTCTGTTTTTGATGTGATATCATATGCCACGCGTCCATCACGTATTGGCTATGACTTCTGTATTCCAGCATGTTCTGACATTACTTGTGTAAGACGAGGTCATGATGAATAGTCTAGACTGGCATAGGCTGATGTCTCGTACGTCAGTAGCTTTACCTGGGAGTAGAGGAAGCGTTCAGGATGGAGTGACCCTCGGCACCGAGGAAAGGCTCACCTCGGGGACCGAGGGTGGTATGTTTCCGAGGTACACGGTGACCGAGGACACGTGTTTGTTGTATAATACACCGAATGCGTGATCCTATATGAGAGGTACCTCGGGGTAAAGGACGCTCTTCGCCGATGGTGCTTACATCCGGGCGACACTGTTTCCAAAAAAACCCGAGGACACGTGTCTTCATCTTAGGATTTTTCAGAAGAGTCCCATCAACTGCCCCCCAGCCTTCGATCTTCTGACACCGAGGACACGCGTTGTNATCACATGTGTGGAGATACGAGCATGTTCAGTGACCTGGATGAAACTTTTACACAAAAAGTGAGGCTTGAAAACAACACCAACATGACAATGCTTGGTAGAGGAAATGCCAGACTAAACTTGAATAGTTTAGTCCATGTCATTACAGAAGTCTTCTACATTTCGGAATTGAAGAACAACCTCCTATGTGTGGGGAAATTATAGGAAAAAGGGGCTTGTAATCCTACTCCATGCAGGAATGTGCAAGATCTACCATCTAGACAAGGGTTTGATCATTCAAACCTTAAAATGACACCTCATAGAATGTCCATTCTATTGGCCAACGTGCAAGAAAAGAAAGCTGCCAGTTTCCACACAAGCTCACAAGACCTCTCCCATTTATGGCACTGCCAATATGGCTATTTGAGCCACAAAGATTTGAATACTTTGCAAACGAAGAACATGGTAAGTGGTCTGCCTCATCTCCATATCAGCGCAATAATTTGCACCAATTGCTTAATTGGCAAGCAACATTGAGATCCCATCCCCAAAAAGAGTACATGGAGGGCTACAAAGAAGTTACAACTCTTTCATACCACATCAAACAACAAGAAGAGGTATTTCTTATGCTTTATTGATAATCCTTATTGAGAAAGAGACTATCATGTATATCAAGTGCTTATGCACTGATAAAGGAGGGGAATTCAATTCAGAGGAGTTCAAGAGTTTTGCAAGAGGAGTGGCATCAAGAGTCAGATGACAAGGACATACACTCCACAACAAAATGGAGTGGCTGAGAGAAAAAAACAGAACAGTGATGAACATGATTCATTCTATACTTTCAGAAAAGAAGATTCCTAAAATCTTCTAGCCTAAGGCAGTGAATTGGACCATGTATGTGCTGAATAGGTGCCCTACGTTGGCTGTCAAAAATGTTACTCTAGAAGAAACCTGAAGTGGTGTGAAACCTACAATGGAGCATTTTTCAGGGTTTTTTGGTGTATGGCACATGTTCATGTGCCAGATGCAAGGAGGACAAAGCTGGAAAATAAAAGCTTCAATTGTGTGCTTTTAGGGGTCAGCGACTAGTCCAAAGCCTACAAGCTATATGATCCTATTTCTAAAAGGGTCGTAATCAGTAGGGATGCAGTGTTTGAGGAAGATAAACAGTGGGATTGGGATGCAAGTTATGAAGAGCATTTGTTNAGCTTCAATTGTGTGCTTTTAGGGGTCAGCGACTAGTCCAAAGCCTACAAGTTATATGATCCTATTTCTAAAAGGGTCGTAATTAGTAGGGATGCGGTGTTTGAGGAAGATAAACAGTGGGATTGGGATGCAAGTTATGAAGAGCATTTGTTGATGGATCTAGATGGGGTGATGACACTGGTGCAGATGTAGAAGAAGGTGATGAAACAGTTAGTGAAAGTAGCGGTGAAGCTGAGGAAACAGTTGATGATGAAGTTCCAATGGTAGTAAATGCATCTCCTGGAGAAGCAATCAATGTAGGTGGAGGAAAGAATAGGCAGACTCCTATTTTGATGGAGGACTATGTTAGTGGAGAAGGGTTGTCAGAAGAAGAAAATGAGATCAATATGACTTTAGTTGAATCCACAGATCCTGTGAGCTTTGAAGAAGCAGTGAAGAGTTCAAGATGGAGGATGGCAATGAATTTTGAGATCAACTCAATCGAGAAAAATTANCGGACTCCTATTTTGAT